GTGAGTGGTATTGAGTTGGCCACCCCCAGCCAATAACACGACCACCAAGCCATGTCCACCCAGTCACATGACTACCAAGCCACGCCCACCACCTAAGCCACGCCCACAGAACCGATTGTTAAAAATTTGGAATCCCACCCCTGGGTGAACTACTCTTAAAACCTTTAGAAAGAGAACTTCATTAAATACAGTAGCACAAGCAAGACACCCTGCTTCACGTCACTTACGCAGCTGTGTCACCAGGAGGCTCAGTGCACTTGCTAGGAAGGCTTTCCCAGTTGTCTCTCTGCACGCATGGGTGTGTATAAGCAACACTTCTGAGAATGCCTGCAAAGCAAAGTGGTTTTGCATACTCCATTTATTTATTTGTGATAAGTATATGTTGCCAACTCTTAAAGAGTTACAGTGATTTTACAAAATTCCATAAAATTAATTAAATAAATAAATTCATTAAAACAAATTACATTATTCAGTTTAACAGTCAGTTTGTGGAACTAATTTTGGGATAGTCTTCAAAGAACAAAACCTTCTGTCTCTAGGCATTTTATCACTTAGAAGAGAGCTACTTTGTAAAACATCCTATTACGTACCTTGTACTTCTTTGTTAACAATTGCACCAAAATATAAATTATTTTTCTTCAAACCATCATATGAATAGAAAGCAGGATTCCAAAACACAATCCGGCTTGGAAGAAAACTGGTTTTTAGGAAGGTGGTTTGCTGGATTCCATTCATATGACACATAGTATTGAGATAGTCATTTTCTGATCTCATTCTCTTATGTTTGGATATAAGCTGAAGGAAAGTACATCCCTGCTTATACTTTTCTGTCTTCTGCACAGTAGTGGATTTTTAAGCTGTGCAGATGCAGATAGATAAACTCAACAAGATGGCCATAACAAAGTACATTTATTGGTTCATCAGGTATCCTCATAACTCACATTTGTGATGAAGTTCTTCTTTAATGACCAAATATCTGCCTTGTAGTAAAAGATGGTTATCTCCTAACCCATCTCGTAGTGATAGAAAGCAGCTGCCATGAGTTAGAGAGTTCAGGCAAAAGTGAGGAAAACTCCCCCAACCCATTGAGGGTTAATTTAGTGACCAATCAGGATTACAGATGTGGCCACGTGACATGAACTACATTTCCCAGGATACCTTTTAACTATATTTACCATGATGCATTCCCTTAAGGGGACAGCTCATAATTCCTAAGTAACTATCCAATTCCCATAGACTGGCTGGGACAGCACATATACCAGGCTTGTCCAACCCGCGGCCCAGGTCGGCTCATAATGCGGCCAAGTGCAATTTTTTATTTTTTAAGAAATTCCAAAGTTTCAAGTTACACTGCCGGCGCTTGCGGCCGGAATGCGGCCGGGGCACGTCACAACGGTGACGCCAGCGCGCTTCACCCGCCCCATCCATTATATTAGCTCCGAGAGGCCACATCTTGCGGCCTGTGCTGAGTATGCGTGAGCACGTCACAAAAGTGATGAAGCACACAAAAAATAAAACTAGAACCAAAATATCTGATGAGCACCTTGAGCACTCACTGAGAATTGCAACGTTCCATCGAAGCAAATATGGATGCATTGGTGGCTGAGAAACAATGTCAAACATCTCACTAACTTCATTTCCAAGTAAGTTTAATATGTTAACTATGTTTTCTATGGTTTTTTTTGGATGATCAGGTATCGTTACTGTTATTTTATTTTATGTGCGGCCCAAACCAAATTTTCATCTTCTAATGTGGCCCAGGGAAGGTGAAAGGTTGGACACCCTTGACATATACTGTATATAATAAAGGGAAAGTCCCAAACTTGGGGAGACCAGATGTTCTATAGGCTTGTTGGGTCAGGATGCAGTTGACGGGTCAGGGTTCAGTTCAGCTTTCTAAATCTGAATTGTATTACCTCTTTTTTTTTTACATAAATTTTTGCAGTGTACCTTGAAGTACTGTAGTCAGAACTTAAGATTTAAACTGTCAACTTCAAGGTTTCATCTTGAAATCCAAAATGTTTATAAATTGTTTTCTAAGATACTATATTCTACAAGATACTATATTCTAATTAAGGGACTAAATGTGTGCCTGTGGAAAAGTGTAGTCTGATTCTCCACTTGGCTTCATAGAAATTAATATTTCCCATCCATGGCAAATTTAAGATGTATGGACTTTAACTCCTAGAATTCCTAAGCTAGTATGCTGGCTGAGGAATTATGGGGAACTGAAGTTTGCATATCTTGAAGTTGTAACAGTTCAGAAACCTTGATATGAAGCCTAGTCCAAAAACTTACACTCATGGCGGGATACTGTGCATATCCTCTAAATCAGAGGTCTCCAAACTTGGCAACATTAAGACTTGTGGACTTCAACTCCCAGAATTCCCCAGTCAGCTGGATGGAGAATTCTGGGAATTGAAGTCCACAAGTCTTAAAGTTGCCAAGTTTGGGGACCCCTGCTCTAAATCTTCTGGATATAGTGCACAATGCTGCATCATGGACAGCACGTGTCACACGTATACTGCATGAACTACATTGGTTATCAGTTTGTTTCCATGTCCAATTCAAGGTGCTGGTTTTTAACCTTTAAAACCCTTCATGGCCTGAGACCAGGTTATTTGTGGGACTGATATTCCCCAATTACATCAGCCCATCCTATTAGATCCAGCAGGGATGGCATGCTATGGATTCTAGCTGTGTGTGACCTACATGTTTGACCTTCTCTACTATGGTACTCATCTTATGGAATATCCCTGCACCTCTAATTTAGATTAGCTCCATTAATTTTTAATGTTCTGGAAGTTCTTCAAAACTTGGTTAAGTCCCTAGATTTCAGGCTCCCAGGAAACTGGCAACATTTTAGGTGCCCCCCTTAATGTAGGTGACATGTGGTAGCTGTTATCTCTCTCTGTGTTTATGGTTTATATCATCTAATTTTTAAATGATTTATTTTTTTAAATAATGATCGTCTATGTTTTTATAAGATTGTTTTATACTGTGGTTTTATTTGATTGTTGTATGCCACCCACAATTATTTTCAGTGAGATTGTTGGCATCTGTATACCTTTATTAAATAAATTGGAAATTTTTCATAGCTAGCACCAACATTGATTAATGTTTGTAAATTCGTTGATGCAAAAACTTGTATTATATGGTATGCTTCTAGGTAAGTTACATTATAAATCAAATCCTATAATATCATAAATTATAAACATAATCATAACTTGGAAATATTAGTTTACAGAATTTTTTCCTTGATTCCGGCAAAAAATTCCCATTCATAAAAATGGATTCATTTAACAATCACATGGTTCCCTTAATGATCAGGCAATGCACTTTACAATTGTTACTCACTTTTATAGTAGTGAAAACAGTCATAAAATCAGGTCAGGTCATGTGAAGATGTTCTTAATGACTGCAGTGACTTATGACAAAAATTCTGGGCTTAGCTGTGGTCATTAAGAGAGGACTATCTGTAGTCTTGTTGTGAAACACCAAATAAATATCTAGTTTGTAGCAGTAATTTGGTTATTTGTAATCTTTATTTAAAAATAAGGATTACTTTTTTTCTTATATGCATGCAGATATAATTTTAATCAGTATTAAAAAGTTCCAATTATCTTTCTAAATTTTGAAAAAATTTCCACTTTCCCTCCTCAAAAATGATGCGATGGCTGCTTAGACAAAAGGAATACAACTGATGTTTTGTATGGAATAGTAAATGCCTGTGCTACATTTAATATTTTTCCAACATGTTTCTCTTTAGGCGAGGAAATATTGTAAGTTTTTATTAGAATTACGTATTTTACTTTATTTCAAATTTCTGCCTCAGCTATATCTTTATGTTTTCTTTTGTTAAAGCCAGTTTATATTTTTGCTACATATTTGGATATTTTCCTATGAAAATTATATTAGAAATTCTATTCAAATCAAATCTTCATAACATATTTCAGCTAGGAAGTAGAATTTTTTAATGAACACTTTGAACCTTATAACCTTATAATTTGCTGTTACTCTGTTGTTTTGCAGATGGCAGACAATATAAGCACTATATGTTTATCTGCTCAGCTTATAAATTTATTGTAGAAAATTTTTGCAAAATGGTCATCCACATTTACCTTCAAGTTGAAATATTTTTCTAAAGGATATTCTGTGTTATGAGTTTTGGTCTTTTTGCTTGTCAATACTTTTTTGAAGTGCTTTTCCTGAAAATAGGAAAGAATGGAAAGTCAATCTTCAGGCTTAGTTGAGGAAATTAATGGCATAAAATTATCCTGCCCAGGTCTCCATCTGCAGAAATCTTTGACTCCAAAAGTCCTTTGGCTGGCTTAAGACTTTTCAAGAAGTATGGAAAAGGAAAAATTGGATGAATATTTTTTTCTTAAGATTTAATCCCAATTGTGATCAATTCCCTTTTCCCAATGAAACTGTATTTCTCGTTTCATACCATTTCAGAAGATACTATTTACATTTCTCTGTATGTAATTGTGGAGGGGAAAGGTTCTACAAGACGAGAGAAGGATATGCATTTAACACAGTACACATTCTTAGACACAGTGCAGGGAGGAATTTTTAAATATTGGGAGCAGGATGTTTTGAAGACCATTGAGTGGCACATACTCACATAAAGTGAGATTTCATCTGGGTATTAGATAAGAGTGTCACTGGTGTTTCCAAATGATGACAACAAACAGACGTACTTTGGGTCAGTCCCAAAGTTTGAGAAGATGGCGAATCAGTTTCATTACCTGATAATGGTATTTCAAATAAAAGTGAATTTAAAAAATTGCAAAGTGTACTCTGCTGATACCCTAAATCTTGATGATGTAGGTAGGGATGGAAGTTCCCTTAAGTTTAATAATGGAAAATATGCAATTATTTCTCAGTTTATTTGAAGCAAAGAAAGCAATTTATTTTCCACTGTTCCTATTATTATTTTTGGCTTCTAATTTTAGAAATGCTGACATTTTGTTTTTCTTTCCTTTTTTCCTTCTCAGATGAACGGGACAAAGTACAAAAGAAAACATTCACAAAATGGATAAACCAGCACCTCCTGAAGGTCAGAATATTTAGATTCATTCAAGTCTGCAGTACATTGGATGTCGTAATGTTTTAACCAAGGTGGTCTGGGAAGGAATGGAATATTTATTTAATATATCAAGATGATGATAGCAATCCAGTTCCAGGCATTCCTGGAAGAAGCTGTTTTTCTAGAAGACGCCTGGTCATCCAGCTTGATTATCTTATTTGATGGGTTTTCTTTACAGAGCATTATTACTCATTATTACTCAATATTCCATGTCATGTTAGTACTGGTAGTCCTCGATTTACAACAATTCATTTAGTGACTGTTCAAAGTTACAACAGCATTGAAGAAAGTAACTTATGACCATTTTTCACATGGCTGTTGGAGAATCCTCATGATCAAAATTCAGATGCTTGGAAACTGGTTCATATTTATGACAATCGCAGTGTCCCAGGGTCATGTGATCACCTGCAACCTTTCAAGCAAAGTCAATGGAGAAGCCAGGTTCATTTAACAACTGTGCCGCTGGCTTAACAATGGCAGTGATTCACTGAACTGTGGCAAGAAAGGGACAAAATTCACTTAACAAATGTCTCATTTAGCAACAGAAATTTTGAGATCAACTGTGATTTAGGACTACTTGTACCTTCGATCACGATACCTTATTGTATCACATCTGTGGGGAGAATGACATTTTGATGATTTTGCTTCTGTCTGCAGTGCCAGTCATAGCAGATAGCATTAGATGAATATTTTTCAAACATCCCTTGACAGTTGTATCAGAAAGTAGTGCAGAGTGTTATCTCCAGTAATTCTTCTTTTGAAATAGCTGAGGATATCAGATGGAGAGCATAGTGTTGTCATTCTGATGACTACATTTATCTTTGTGTCTGGGTTACATCTGAATCAGGAGAAGCCCTTTTAAAAAAGAGTATAAAATATATTGAAGATAAATAAATAGCCACCACGCACAGTAAACATTTTTAATCAGTGTCAGAAACAAGCAGTAGTGTTGTTGTTGTTGTTCAGTGAGATCTCATTCCCAGATTTCTTTTCTCTGTGGACAGGAAAATCAGGAAGATCACGGTGTTTGTTTGTTTGTATTTCACATTTCTAAACCACCCATCTTCTTTAAAGAGTTTATAGTAGTGAGTACCTATTCCTGTTATAGTATTCTATAACAGGAATACGATTCTTCAAAGGTGCTTAAGTTCATAGAAGCAAATGATCCCTTGAGGCACCTTAAAAGACACCTTCCCTAGTTTTCTGGAAAATAAAAATAAAAGAGGAGCTTTCAGACTTGTAAGATTCTGTTCCTGTAAATTTACAATAAAAATAATGCTAGTCCTCATATTTTGTGCTTCTGGTCTGGACTACCTGTAAGGGCCAACAAGCCTGAACTGTGGCTGACCCTCAAACAGGGATTCAGTTAAGACATAATATCCACATGTAGCAAAAGTAGTTAGACTTGCAGCTCAACTCTCACCATGTGTTTTATCTGGTGTCCTCAGTCATCGAAGTGTAATGTTGAGTATTTAATAGTGAGTCTGAAGTGAGTTTATTTCTTAAGATTTTCAGGAATGCTAAAAAGTTAACCTGTGTTGTGAGGCCTGACAATTCTTGTATGAAGTTTCCCCCCATATGTCTCCATAGTAGAAAGTCCTTTTTGTCAGCACTACATATTTGTATCATGTGACTAGGGAGGCTGCCGAATGCCCTTTCCTTAGTTACAGCTGGTGAGTTATGATGGGTCCTAAGTTACAGAATAATACAGATTTCATTAGAGCAGTCAAAGAGTTAACGCCAGGTGTTTTGTAAATTGTTCACAGGGTATAACTTTGAATTTGGGTTATAATACAATATATAAATATAAAATTTATATCAAATTAGTTATACGTATTAAGCATGCACAGTCACCTGCATTTTTGGCACAAAATCTATATGGATAAATTAATATTTTTCCCCACGCATATATTTTATTACTTGATCTTGTTAAAAACATGTATGCTATTTTGCCACCTACAGTCATCTGAAAGACTTTAAAAGAATTGATACATTATTCAGTGAGATGTTTCTTGTGATCTGTATAGTGCTGTAATATGCAGATTAAGCTCTAAAAACATATTGGCTTCTTGCCACTTCTTTATGGACTGTGACATTTATTCCAGCTTGATTCTATTTTTGGTTACATCCAAAAAATAGATAAGAAATATCTATTATTTAATATATCCCACAATTTTCTCCTGTTTAAAAGACTGATACTTTCTTATCTATATGTTTTTTAAGTTGCCTATGACAATGTCTCATTTTTGAAACAAACACAGGGGCATACAAATTATTTACCTATTCTTGCTTCTACTATAGTAAGGACACAAAGCTTCTGTATAAATTCAGGAACCCACCAATCTGAGTCTCCATTTTACTGACCTCGGAAGGATGGAAAGCTGAGTCTACCTTCAGCCAGTCAGGATCGAACTGCCAGCAGTCAGCAGAGTTAGCTTGCAATACTGCATTCTAACCACTGCACCTCCTATGATACAACTATCATAAATACATGCCAGTTGTCAAGTGCCCAAATTTTGATCATGTGTCTTAAGTTTGAATGGTCATTTTTTTTCAATCCTGTTGCAACTTTGAAAGGTCATTAAACGAAGGATAACCTGTATTGTTTTTGATTATAATTTTCTGGAAGGGCTAATTGACTCTTTGCTTCTCCTTAAGAGCCAATTATATATCAGAATAGTTAGAAATACTGATTTCCAGACTGACCAAAAACATTAATTTAGTGATTGGGTAGGACTTAGCTGATGAGAAGAGCACATGGATTGCATTTGCTCTGTTAGTATTTTGTTCAAAATTAGTATGCCCAGTGTGATAAAGGTGACAAGATTTGATGAGGAGAGGGGCAAGGCTGAATGAAGCAAGGCTGGAATTAATATTTGGATAAGGTGGGGAAAAGTCCATAATAGTAACGTGTGTGTGTATGTGTGTGTTACACAATAAACTGATGTGGAGTGTATCTGTGATGACCCGGGGCGTAGCACAAAGGCAACACAGTCACATAAGTAAGAAAAGTCCCTTTAATACCTCCAGCTTTGCCCCCAATGTTCCAGTTACCTTTGGCTGGAGAAAAAACTCTCCCAAGAACAGTCTGGAGGAAATTCAGTCCAAAAATAAAGTACATATAAACTGGAAATAAAAATCCACACAAACTACGCTGCAGCAATTAACTGGACAGGGCAGGATAAGGAATTGCAGACTTCAAAGGCGAACAAACACACACAGTTGGGAAGATGCCAGGAACCCAGATAAGCCTCGACAAACAAAGATAACTCACGGCTTGTTTCCAGCAACTTTGCTGTGTGTAGCTTGATTTTTAAACATCGTTTTCCCAGCTGGAAGGGAATCAGGGCTCTTTCCTCCCCCGAAAGCCACGCAACTCACGTTGCTCCCTTCTCCGTTCCTCCCTGCATGCCTGGATGAAGAGGAGGTGTCCCTTCCTCTGAATTCCCTCTGCCTTGCTCTACCTCTCCCCTGCTCTGCCCAGCCAGACTGTGCCCTTCCCCAGTTTCTTCCACAGCCAGGGGAGCCACACTCCCACTCCCTGTCAGCTGCTCGACCTCCTCCTCGGAATCAGATTCCAGCAGGGGCATGACAGTATCTCTGGTTGCAGCACTTTTCTTTTATTCAGTGGAATTAAGTGTCATGGCCATGATACAATGAAGTGGTATAATTAGAGATAACCTGTGTGTTAATGTTAAGCAGAGCGAGGTACTCATGTAGTGTTCTTGATGACCCAGCAGGTGGCAGCACCTAGCCAATCTTGGCTGATGCTGAGAAGGAAAGGACGGAATCCGTGCAATCAAACTTGACTCCAGGAAGTCCTTCACTCTTTTAATGTAGGGTTTTTCAAAAGTACATGACTTCTCTTAACAGAGGGGAAATTGCTGCTCAGCTTCAGTGAGCAAATATTCTTTGGATGACAGAAATCCAGAATCAAATTAGCCCCACTCTGCTCGTCTTTAGTTCTGATATTTGTTGCTTGGTTTTGTTTGCTGTTTTGCTCTGTAATCCTGAGAACTGAGAGTATGTGGATGTAACATTTGGAATGTTTTTTTCCTCTCTGGGCTAATTTGGTTCGCCAGATGAAAGGCTGTTCTAATTCCAGAAGCCTCTGACAATAGTAAGAGCCTGCCCTTTCAGCCACGGAATATTGCTCATACGCTTATTGTGATTTATATTTTGTTCTTCTTTGAAGCAGTCTCTCCTGTGATGATCTTGAATTGCTTTCGATAACCAATAGAATGCCACCTTCTCAAACCCTCTTTGGGGGTGGAGATTTACTATAAAAAATAATAAAAAATAATATTAAAATTGATGAAGCCTGATAAAAGATGAAATCTGCAGATTCTGTAAAACTCCAGAGGGAATGCATTTCATAGTCTGGAGCTGAGCACCCCCCCCCCCCAAAAAAAAAAAAAAAAGCACCAGCTACATCAACCTCTAATTGCAGGAGTTTCTGTGCACCAGTTTCTTTTTCAAATCTCATTCAATATGGGGTTTGTAATAGGAGAAGCAATTTCTTACTATTTCGTTTTATGGTTTGTCACTCAGTCAGCCAGATATTCAGACTGGATTTGGCATTTTTAGCCATCTATTGAGTCCTTCCCAAAGACCTGGGAGAGCCAGATACTGATGTTTGAGGATGTTAAAAAGTATCATCATAGGATATAAGCTGTTCCAAGTAAAGCTGCCCTTTGCAATTTACTGGCGGTGATTTTTGTCAATGCCAATGGTGTTCGAATGGTGCTCTGGTTGTTTTGGGATTGCACCCAAAACAAGCACCCAAGCTGCCTGTTATTATTGGTTATTATCATTATTTTTGCTTTCTTGTTCCACAGGCATTTTACTTCTATTTGTAGGTCTTGCGTTATCTTTTTCAGGTCTTTCTCTTCTACTCTCCTGTCTGTAGCCACTGCCACATCCATTATCCAGACTTTTTCAGTACCTATATTATTAATATTGTTATTACA